GTCTCCCGCGGCCCCGGGGGCCGCACGGCGGATCGGCAGGTCCCCCGGCAGCCACGTGCGGTTTCTCCCGCTGCCCTGAAGAGCCAGACCACGGTCCGGCGCCCATTCTGGGCCACTCACAAGAGCACAGCACTGGCCACAGCTGCTACACGACTGGAACAGGAGCCCGGCTCTGCCCGTCACAGCAGAGTGGCCCAAACACTTGGGCTGGGCTGGAGTTCCCAGTTTTCACCGCGGCTGCCAGCACCCGTCCTGAACAAAAAGCACCCCGGTGTCCTGCAGGCGGGGGCAGGGCCGTGGGAACAGACAGGGAAGGGGGGTGCGGAGACGGCATGCGGCGCGAGTACCCTACGGGGCACCCAGTTATCGGAACTCTCCGCCCATGGCTTGGGAGTGAAACCAATTCAGAGCCCCGTATCTCACCATTACAGCCCTGCCTGAGAACTAGGTGATACAGAAGAACTCAGCAAGGGGGCTGGGGACCGCTCGGTCTGCCTGGGAGAGAGCCATGAACCCCACTGCCAAGCAAAGGGGAGTGTGTGTCTGAAATGCCGAGGCAGTTTCACCTACAGAGCCACGTTTACCCCAGTGACAGAGCCCCAGACAAACCCCGTCCTTCCGAACTGGGGAAGTTTTCTCTACAATGCTCAGCAAGATTTTTTCCTCGCAGCTGTCGATGGCAAATGTCACTCACTTGTTTTATTTTTTTTCCTAATGCGCCCCAACAAACCCACGGAAGGAGCCGCTCACAGTGTGCAGGGCCCTCTCTTCCTCTGCTGAATGGTAAATTGGGACACTACCTCCCAGCTTAGCGCTTCCCTGGGCCACCCGGAGCCATCTAGCATTCACACTCCAGCCATTAGCACAAGCTGAACTCTTGCTCCCAGCACGGGGCCGCTCTTAGTTCCACCGATCGGCCTGTATGCCGGCCGAGACCATTTACACCCGGACACACACTTGCCAGGCGTTTCCACGCTCTCTGCTCTCACGGCATCCGCAAGCCATCCCGACAAAGCGACACGCTGGAAATGCCCTGGCACATCCAGCCGGAGCAGCCGGGGGAGAACACAGACACGCACGCAGGCAGCCCCCAGACTTTGCAAGAGACGTGCCCCCCCATGGAGTCACCCGGCATCCGGATTCGCGGTACTAGGTTCCACAGACCTGTCGGTATCTCCGCTCCGAGCACACCTTGCACAGTCCATTGAAGCGATTCATACTCGCTGGCTCTAAACTTGCCGCCAGCCCATGGAAATTAAATCCCTCAAAGGAGCAGGAATCCTGGTTTCCTTGTATCATAACAGCAGGGAACAAGCCACAGTGAAACTGGCATGACCGCCCATGGGAACCCCGTTCCAGAGAAGAATGGCAGGAAGCCACCTTTCCCCTCCCAAGCCCCTGTCTGTGCTGTGTGCCGCTTTACGATAAGCCAGAGGGCTTCCTGAAAACGCCGAGCCACAAGGAAGAGAGAGTTTGATATTAAAATTCCTGTCAACCACTCAGTATTCCCTAGTCCCTTGTCCGTCGATGCGGCTTTTGTTCCTGCTGCATTCTTCGGCCGCACAGAGCACTTTGTTATCGCAACGTTCCCACACACACGTTGAGGGTGTGTAAAGCAGCGTTCACAGGCCCCGGCTGGACAAGCTTCACTTCAGTAAAGACGACTTCTTACGGTAGCGCCTTACAGGGATTCTGCTTGAGGACACCAAGGCAGAATCTGTTCTCACACAGCGCACAGGCACAATAGCGCTTTGTGTTTACGGGAGGGCGGGGGGAGCACGACCCAAAGCTTGGAGTTCAGGGGCACTCAGGGTTTAACTCCAGAATGAAAGGCACAGCGGAAAACGCTGCATCCAGTCAGATGTGAAGGGCAAAGCTGGATTGCCGGCTCCCAGGAAGGCCCGAGTCCCAGGGGAACCCGGTTCGAACGCAGCTAAACACAGCTCCTTCCAGATGCCTCCAGTGGGCCAGCATTCACCACCCCAACCCAACCGAGTCCCCCAGTCACTGTCACTGCAGCTCGGTCAAGTGGCAGCCTCAGAAAGCCACGCACAAGCAGGCGATGGCAGAAAGCCACACACCAGCAGGCGACGGGGGCCGTTAACTAGCCGAGGACAGTACCGGTCTCAGAAAGCCACACACCAGCGGGTGCTGGGCGACGTTAACTAGCCAAGGACAGCACCGGCCTCAGAAAGCCACACACCAGCAGGCGACGGGGGCCGTTAACTAGCCGAGGACAGTACCGGTCTCAGAAAGCCACACACCAGCGGGTGCTGGGTGACGTTAACTAGCCAAGGACAGCACCGGCCTCAGAAAGCCACACACCAGCAGGCGACGGGGGCCGTTAACTAGCCGAGGACAGCACCAGCCTCAGAAAGCCACGCACCAGCAGGCGACGGGGGCCGTTAACTAGCCGAGGACAGTACCGGTCTCAGAAAGCCACACACCAGCGGGTGCTGGGCGACGTTAACTAGCCAAGGACAGCACCGGCCTCAGAAAGCCACATACCAGTGGGCGACGGGGCCGTTAACTAGCAGAGGACCCCACTGCTCTGCACACACACAAAAGGCTTGGTCTGAAGCCACCATCCACGTTGGCTCTGCAGGGTCTAGCCCGGCCAGCCTGGGGCGGTGCTGAGCTGACATTGCGCCTCCCTCACTTTGCCATCTTGCAGGCCAGTGGTGACGGTGCGCAGGGCTTGAGTTCTGTCCCAGCCAGCCCCCGCTACGCTATAAACACTCCAGGGGATGGAAAACGTTTATGGCAGGAGCTCCACCGTGGGTCTGCTCCAGCCGAATTGAAGCCCTGCCAACAGGCAAGGCAGGCAAGGATGAGGTGCGGGGTTGGTGTGTCTGGCGCAGCCCCACGGTTTGAAAGAAGTAGCCGGGAACGCAGCTGAGGGAGCCCGTGCAGCAGCACGGGGCACAGATAAATCCCAGGGCTGACTGGGCCTGGCGGTTTGTTGCTGTTTCCCATCCCGGCCTCTCCTATAAATCACAGAGGCCTCGGTCTCAAACGGCCCATCCGGCAGGCAAAGGATCTGGCAGCGGCTGCTGGAAAGCCGTAGGTGAAAACGCGGCAGCTGTCCGCAGGAAGGGCCCCTCAGAACAGTGGTCTGGTCACCCAGCTCGGGCGCCTGGTAGAGTCTGAGGTATGGGCCACTCCCAAGACTTAGAGTCCTCTCCCTGAGCTCCCGCCGGGGCTCTCCATGGCCCCGGGGCTCTCTGGCCCCACATCCTCCACAGCCCACACTGCCAGGTAGCTTTCCCAGGGTGTGTGTCACTCGCCCCATGGACCTCACCTCCAGGGCTTTCTAACCAGGGGCCTGACCCGGTCGCAAGAGGTGGGGAGCTGAGACCGCAATGGAGTCATGGCTCGAGCACCGGCTCACCATGCCACCTGAGCAGCTGTGCCCCAGTGCATTCTGGGCACCTCGCCCCTAGGGACCCAACGGGAGGCGCACGCACACGAGAGTATCAGCCTGTGGGCAGGGCGCCCTGGGAGTCCTGCTGCCTGGAGCGATGCGGGAGGCGGTGCACCCAGCCTGGTCACACGGACAAAAGTCCAGGTCTCCCAGCAACCACCCAGAGCGTTGAGCCAGGCGCCAGACGAGAGTCGTGGGGCAGCCTAGGCCTGCTGCCGCCAGGGGCCCTGGCTACTGACCGTGTGTTTAGAGCCACTGCTCACGCCGGGCTGTGACCTGGAGCGTGGACTAGGGATGTTAACCGAATAGTCGATGAATCTCACGAATTCTTATCGGTTACTCGACTGTTTTATAGTCCCGGGGGGCGCGGTGCTAGCCGGGATGCAGAAGGGGGACCAGGGATCGGGCAGAGGGTTGGAGTGCCGGGTGGGGGCTCTGGCGGGGGGTATGGGCTCTGGGGTGGGGCCGGGGGTGAGCGATTCAGGGTGCAAGCTGCCCCAGGAAGAAA